TCTTTACTGCCAGTGGGCGCAAGGGCTCCACAAAGTTCCCAGTCACACCCCAGACCTTGCAGGGGGACCAGAGGATCCGAAGCCGGGTCCCTGGGAGGGGGCGGCGGCGACCGAGGCCATGGGGATAACCTAATTTTCTCAGGGCGCCCGAGGGTACCCCCGACTCCTGTCACCTAGCCCCTTCTTTCTCAGCCGGCCACCGGAATGCGCCTCTGCCGGTGGCTGGGGTCGGAGTGGGGAGCAGTAAACCCCCGGGTCTCAGAGGAGTCTTTTATCCGCGAAACCAAGGTAGTGTGCCAGTCAGGAAGGAATTGGCGCTGCATCTGCTTCCCTGCCCAGCCCTGACATCTCATCTCGGCCACCGCCACTTGCCGCAGTTGCGTGGACGCCGGGCCTCAGCGGGTCCGAGCGAGACACGTTCGGAAGCCCCGACCGGGGTTCTGAGCGCAAGGGCGGCCCCGCTGCGGGCAGGCGCCGGCAGCTCCGCTCTCGTGCGCCCGCGCCAACGCGGCAGCGCCGCCCTCCCCGTCTTCCAGCCAAACGCAGCGGCCCGGGGAGCCGCTGCGGGCGGCCACGCAGCGGTGCCCGGGCTAGACCCCGCTGAGTCCCCGGTCCCAAGCCCACCCCACTCCGCCCGTGTGCGACCCCGGTCGCCGTGGCGAGCGTGGCTTCTTCCTCAGACTTTTGCTTCTTCACCAGCCCTTCCCACTGGAAAACTGCGCGGCGGCGGTGGGGGTCGCGCCACCTCTAGGCTCGGTCAGGCAGCACCTGACCCCGCCACCCCTGACTCTGGACGCGCGGGGCAGGCTCGGAGCTGCCACCGGCAAAGCGCGGGGCGCAGCGCGCGGCCCTCGGCCTCTCTCCTGAGCCCCCACCCCCACTCCCACCCCCGGCTCGGGTCGCTAGGGCTGGGGGACCGCCCGGGGCCAGCCGGAGAGTCGCGCCCGCGGTGGCTGACTGCGGAGTTGTACAGAACTCGGCGGCCGCAGCGGGTCGGGCGGGGCAGGGCGCGCTCCGCCGCGGCCAAGGACACTGGAGTTTGCGAGTCCCCGCCCGCGCGGCGCCTCCCGCCCTCCCGCCGCGGCCCGCCGGACTCCCCGGGGCCGCCGAGGCGGGGCCGGGCGGCCGCCGCCGAGAGAGGCGCGTCTTCCATCCTCCTCCCCCTCCTGCCTCCCTCTCCACCTCTCTCCCCTCCCTCCTCTCCGCCCTCTTCTCCCCCCACCCCACTCGCTCCTTTTTCTGCTCCCCAAGTGAGCCCGGCGCGCGAGAGGCAGGCGGGGCGGCGCGGAGAAGGCAGCCCAGCGCGCTCGCCCACCGCCCGCTCCTTGCAGCTCCCGGTTGCCGCTCTTGCTGCCGCGGCCGGCGCGTCGGAGGGAGCCCAGCATGGCCGGGCAGGGCTCGCAGCGCCGCGCGTCCCGGGGGGCCTCGGCGCTCCTCGCCACCGCGTTTCTCTACGCCGCGCTGGGGGACGTGGTGCGCTCGGAGCAGCAGATTCCACTCTCCGTGTAAGTGCCGGCTTCTGCGCCGCCCGGGGAGGGGATCGTGCCGCCCGCGCGACCCATTGTGCCCAAGTTTGGGCGCCTGCAGGTGCGGCTGGGCAGGACCTGCCGCGGGCGCCGGCCTCGCCTCGCGCACCTGCCTTCCCGCGGTGGAGCGGGGCGGTGAGGCTAAGGTGGGACCTTGTCGCCCCCTCCCTCGGGTTGGCGAGTGGACCTGGAGAGGCTCACCTCAAGTGACAGCATCAACTTTGAAGCCTGTTTACCGAAGCCAACTTCCACGGGCCGTTTATTTAACCCCTCTTTGCTATCTTGCCATCTTACTTATTTTGGGGGAAAGGGGGATGGTGGATTTCTTCCGACTAGCATTTGCCAGGTGATACCTATTTGGGGCGGGCAAGTTCTCGGGCAATTATTCAAATCAAACCCAGTGATCGTTTTAGTGAGCCTAAAGGAGACTTTAGGCATTTTGAACTATGTGACACCCCCTCGGGCCCCCTGCCGCGCTCTGCTCTGCAGTTTGGTGCTGGCAGTTCCTACCAAGGCGCTGTTTCTTTCCTTCCTTCCTTCTTTTTTTCTTTCTCTTTTTAAATCCAATGTTATATCGCCGAGCTCCTTCAGCCACAGCCCATGTGTGCGTGTGCGTGCGTGTTGACTGTGACACCGGTGTTACATTTGTTCCTGTGCCCTTTCTCCCCGTAGGGTGAAGCTCTGGGCCTCGGCTTTTGGTGGGGAGATAAAATCCATTGCTGCTAAGTACTCGGGCTCCCAGCTTCTGCAAAAGGTAAGGTTTCTGTGGTTGCAGGAAACGAGATTTTTTTTTTTCCAGCACAGAAAATGGAGGCAGATTTAGTTTTCCAAACAAACGTGAACCCCAAGCAGCATTAGTTATCAGAGGTGTCTCTGATCCCACGGTTTCTTGGCAGTGTACTGTGCAGTGACTTCTCCCTACCAACCGGTTATTTTTAGATGACACTTGATTCTAAACACAAAGAAAAGCAGGATACTCACTGGCACTGTCCTGGCTGGGGCTCGGAAACTGAGTGTTTCTGTGCGGCTCTCCTCTCATGTCGGTGTAGCTGTTTCAGTGTCAGAGCAGATGCTTCTCTGGCCAAAAACTGCAAACTTCATCCAAGAAGCGGAATCAACGCCTGTTTTACGATGTCTTTCACCTTGCCTGCGTGCGAGGCTGGGGTTCAGCGTATCACAGAAAGATGCTGCCCTATTGTTTGTCATCCCTGCAGTTGTACAATCCCATTATTCCCCAATCATCTAGACCCAGGGCTGGGATGCATTACATCATTACAGATAAGGAGAATGAATATGGTTATCTTTCCACTCAGCTGCACTGCCGGGTAATAACCTATGAGAGTCGTCCACAAACTTAAGAAATTGGTCTGCGTCCATATAATTCTGTGGAGTAATGAGAATGGAGAATTGATTATTAGGCTTTTTATCAGAAGCAGCATCAATTTTAATTCAAACAGGCATCATTATGCTGAAAATTACATTGTGAGATATATGGTCCTTTGCCCTCCTCTCCAAGAAGAAAAGAAAAAAGAAATGGCCTGGGGAGGCGAGATTAGAGGGGTTAAAAGCATTTCAGGCTAACAAATCAACAGGATTAATCCAGGTATTCTCTCAACGATAGAAAATACAATTGGCCTTTAGGGGATAATTCTCTGAAAATGGGTACAAACAGCTTAAATTGTTAACTTTTAAGCATTTTTAAATGTGCTTTTTGGGCCAATGTAACATATGTGTTATGCATGCTGCCTGGTAACCAAGTACGTATTTTATTTATGGCATTCTGCTTCAGAGAGTAGCATTTTTGGGGACATTATATGAAACAGTTTCTCACATGAAATTTAAATATCGTAATAAAACATCAGCCCACAGTAGAATGATGGAAGTTATTCTGGTTTAAAAATTGCCAGTAGCCATATTCTTTGAAACTGTGCAGAGATTGTTTGCTGAACTCTATTATTTGGGGGAAGGAGTTCATTGAATTATAGGCAGTTGATAAAAACTTGAGGCTATGATGTACCTTTATGGACGATGATAATTTACATATTCTGACCCACCTCTCAGTTTACAGGAATTGACTCTTTCACTAGTATTCTTTTAATCTGGACCAGTCTGTACCCTGCTTTGGCATTTTGCCCACGTGTCAGATGTTTTATGTGAAGAGTTCTGTACTATCGTGTTGGCTGTGTATTTTCCCTATGCCTTTAAAGAAGAGAATATTTGTATAACTTTATAAAGAAATATTTTCATCTGCATGTTGTAGTTTAGTTGTAACAACTCTGGAAGAATCCCTTCAGAGCCTGTGACTGTTTTCTTGGTTGTGCTTACATATGTTCTATCTCACATTTTGTAGGAGCACATGACATATGCTTTTCCTTCTCTCTTAAGTTAACACGCACACATACACACACACACACATACACGCACACTCACACCCTGCACAAAGCCCCATCAGCCATATTATTGGCAGCTCTATAGGAGCAAATTGGAAACAGCGAAAATGCTTCTCTTACCTTCTCATCAGCATCCTTTCTGATAGTGAATTCACAAGCGTAGCTTTGCTTTTGTCATGTTTGCAGCTTGACAATTGTGTAATTATTTCCAGCTGTGTATGGTTTGTTGCCATTTCTTGCTGTTGCCTGGCATTTTGTAATCTGATGTAAGGGGAAGGTGAGCTGTTGTTTGGCATTAAGTTCCAGGGTGGGTATCTGTTCTCGCACTTGGATTGCAGTCATCCACCATGGAGCCCTGAGATACACATGGCTTTCGCTTGCTAGGCAAGAACTTCCATGGATGATGGGCAAGGTGTGTTAGACAACCTGGGGAGCATTTTTGCAGGTATCTTTTGGCTATCTTGGTCCATTGCCCCCAAATATGACTGTATTTTAAAAATTAGCGAAGAACACTGGTTCAGAGAGTTCAGAGTATGAATGAGAAAAGATCTGAGGTACTCAGAGTGTGGGGGGCATAACATCCTTTGGAAAAGCAAGGAGACTGTTGCCTTTCTCTTATTTATTTTCGAGTTTTGGGCCATTTGCATAAGAAATTACTCCTCTAAGTCAAAACTCTATGTGTCCTATCACATCACTGCATCCTTAACAATTAAGATACTCTCAAAGTAACTTAGGAAACTTGGTTGAAAAATGCATTAACATTGTATTAAGGGGACTCAAAAGTGACAATACTGTGTTGCATAATAGAATGTAATTATACTTTTAAGGCATGGACATTTTAAACTTGAATTTCAGTTAAGTGAGGTATATTGTATGCCACTGTATAATTTTATGTACTCTATGTATTTTCTCTAATTGACACTTCATGTTGTGATTGATGTAGTATGCTCATTGTTGGCATGGGAGTTTAGTTTTTGCACTAAGGCAAAAAGTTTGCAAAGTAGTTATTATGAATATAAGTTAAATAATAATTGACCATCTATTTTAAGGTGTTTGGAGACTTGGAAAACTGCCATTTTGGTAACAGGTTTTTATTAGGTAATTTAATTAGTGGTAGCAGTATTATCACTGTCTTCATCAACGTAAATACAAGCATTAAACAATGTACCTCATTGTTGTGGCTTCTGAAAGGAGAATATTTCATCAGTTGCTTCTATGTTTGATAACTTGACTTTTGCTACTTTAGCTTATGATCATATATTAGGTATTCACTGTCAGACTTTCCCTAATTTTTTTTCTTCTTGTCTCTGCTGAGCACAGGAATAGCAACCTAATAGTTCCTTAAGAAGGGGAATATTTTTGATTTTTATAAAATGCAGTAGTCCATGTTTTAGCAAAGTTGTGTGTTTTCAATACAGAATGGAGGAACGTGAGATGTGGAGGTTTTAGCTGGAGTTCATCTTGAGAGGTTTTACAGTGGTTGCAGGATAGCGGGCCCCGGAAGGTGCGTGCTGATGAGCTGCTGTGTGCCTGGATGCTGCCTGCCTTCACTGCTGATACTGCAGGGGTTTCGATTCACTTCACCCTTTAATTAACTTTCCTATTTGACATATTCATGCCAGGATTCAGCTGCCTCTATCTTGCTTCAGTTTCCCCAAAGAATGCGCTTTGTTTGGGCTCTTTTGGGGAGGCATAGCTTCATTACCCCTCTAATTTTGGAATTCAGTGAGAAGCATTCTAGTAGGTGCAGTAACCTAGGCCGTTAAATTCCTGGACTCCACACCCCTAACATTCACAATAAAAGGCATTAAACTGGCGTGCTTGTTGTTTCATCCTCCTTAGGGACAATTTGATAGGAGCTAGGTTTTTTCATTCTATTTAGTCCTGCAGTCAAGGAATACGTGTTCATGGGAATGAAGGGTTCCAATTCAATTTTCCAGAATCGTGATGATAAATACCCAGCAGAAATACAGGTAGTGTGTGTCTCTGCCATTAATGTTAGAAAAGAATTGACATTTATTTTGGATGCCTCGTGCAGCATTTCTTGGAATGCACAACCAGGGTTTTTGCGTTATCCACTATTTATTGAGAGAGCGGCTTTAATGCATAAACTTGATGTCTCTTTCCACAGGACAGAGTCAGTAAAATAAAAGGTTGGTCCTTTAAGCCATTTTGATAATTATGACTTTTTATCAATGTGGGAATCAATGGACTTTTGAATAATTAAATAGGAGTAGCCGCTTGTCAGGAATTGGGTAGCAGTGCGGTGCTGCCCTTAGGAAGCCTGACACTCTACAGATTGCTTTTACGGGGGAGGTGCTACTTAGCTGAACATTTTTGTTGAATAAACACAGTTATTTGTCATCCTGCAAGATTAGTGCATTCAACCTATGCTGCCAATGCTTTAAGTCACAGCACCACTTCAATTACTGGACTTTCCCCTGGCAGATTATTTTTAAAAGTCTTGAAATCTCGGAAATGACAATTTTCTATCACTCAGGGCAGTTTATTGGTCTCATTAGCCCAGTCATCAGGGCATTAGCAGGTCAGGGTAACCAGTCAGAATTCAGTTCGTGCATCTTACCAATGCATCTATCTAATTGCATTTGTAAATTCCTACATAGCCACTTGCTGTCCAGAGAAAGTTCTTTGTGTCTGGCTCTGCTCAGTTTTTGAGCCTCTTTTGTTCATTGCTTTTTCTCAAAATTTCTTTTCTGCCAGGTACATTTCTGCTTTGCTTTTTCTCTCCTCGAGAACTGCCGCAGCCTCTGTTGCTTAGATTTACAGTGCTAGTCAGAATTAAGGGACATGAAAACATAAGCATGGTTTTCTTGTTGGAGGCAAACTTCAGATTTTTATTCCAATGTGGTTGTTAATTGTGATCAATTACTACGGTGATCTCGAACTGCTTTATTTTTATTTTATCTTATTTATTATAATGCCAGTGTGCTTTTAATCAAACACTTGAGTACCAAACCACCTATTAATTACAAAATCTGTCTGGCACGGGTAAGCACAATTAACACGTCCGGTTTGTGATACAGACATAGCTGTGTATCAGGATGAACAAAACCATTCCCCGCAGCATCTGTGGCCCTGCCACGTGTTTCATTGTCCTGCACTTTGAAGCACATACTCATGGAAGTGCAAGTTGGGGGTTTTAGCTTTTTTCTCTTTCAGTTTTTGACTGATCCTCACGTGGTGTCTAGTGCTCCCACTGATGCTGATCAGTGAATGACTTGGTGTGATGGGCTCACTTAAGGAAGTGCACCTTCCCACAAGGATTCTTTGCTTCGGGTCTGTCATGAGTCCAGATTTACCACCACAGAACCCCCAGACGGGCTCTTTTTTTTTTTTTCAAAAT